GAAAAGTACATGTATATTAGCTCACTTGATGGTTTCAGAATGTAAAGTAATAAGGGCCACACAACAAGTACGACTCCAAGACCTGAAGAGAGTCACCTGTTTGATCCACTGAACAGTTCAACCTGAGTTAATCCAGAGAATAAAGGAAGCTCAGTCCGCCGATTCCACCCTAGCAACCCTCAAGAAAGATGCATAATAGGGAGTTAATTTAGAATTTCGAGTCTTTGCCGATGGATTGCTTAGATTTCAAGATATGATGTGTGTTTCAGGTGACAGTGAATTGAAAATGAACATTATGACAGATGTCCATAGCTCAAAATTTATTATGCATTCTGGAAGCTCTAAGATGTATCAAAGTATGCAACCCCAATTTTGGTGAAACAGGATGAAAAGAGATGTTTCTGATTTTTTTCTAAGTATTTGGTATGTCAACAGGTCAAGGCAGAGCATCAACGCTCAGGTGGGCTACTTCAACCATTACTAATTTTGGAGTGGAAGTGGAAGCATATCACTATGAATTTCATGACAGGATTGTCTAGGCACGCTCAAGAGATAATGTCATCTAGTAATGATTGATCAGCTTACCAAGTCTTCCCACTTCTTGGCCATCAAGATGACCGATCCCTTGGACAAGTTAGTAAGAATGTATATCCAGGAGATGGTCAGATTACATAGAGTGCCAGTGACAGTAGTGTCCGACAGAGACCCCAAGTTCACTTCTCGGTTCTAGTTTAGCTTTCAGTAAGCCATGGGAACAAAACTGTCCCTTAGTACTGCATTCTACCCTCAAACCGATGGACAGTCAGAAAAGACGATCTGCATACTTGAGGATATACTCCAAGCTTGTGTTCTTAACTTCGGGGGCCGTTGGGATGATCATCTACCCCTGATAGAGTTTACCTACAATAATAACTACCAAGCAAGTATTAGCATGGCTCCGTATGAGGTGTTGTATGGCTGCTCATGCAGATCACCAATATTTAGGAAGAAGTGGGTAATAAAAAATTGTTCGGCATAAATCTCGTAGAGGAGACTACAACTAAAATAGTTAAGATTATGAAGAACATTCAAACAGCTCAGAGCAGGCAGAAGAGTTATGTGGACACCTAGATGAGAGATTTTGAATTTAAGAAAGACAATCAGGTGTTCCTTAATGTCACCCCTTTCAAGAGAATCCGCATGTTTGGCAAGAGGGAGAAGTTGAATCCCCAGTTTATTGGGTCATTTGAAATCTTGGACAGAATTGGTACCGCCGCCTACAGAATGGCACTGCCTCTAGAACTTTTCAGGGTCCATAATGTGTTTCATGTGTCCATGCTATACAAGTACAACCCGGACCCCTCTCACGTTTTGGTCCACGAGTCTCTTTCACCGAGGATGATATGTCCTATGAGAAAGTATCGGTCGTTATTGTGGACCGAAAGAGCAGATTACTCCGCAACCAGAAAATTCCCTTTGTTAAGCTCATATGGCAGAATCACACACCGAAAGAGGCCACATGGGAGCTAGAATCAAACTTCGGATCCTAATACCCCAAACTGTTTGATTGAGTAAGTGAGAGACAAATTTGAAGGACCAAATTTCTTTTAAAGGATTGAGAGTTGTAATACTCAATTAATTTTAATATAATTTATAAGTATAATTTTTTAATTTTATAATTTTAATTTAATGTAAAAATGAAGGAAAATAGGTAAATGATGAAATTGAAAATAATTTTGGAAAAAATTGGTGAAAACTTGGGTTTTAGAGATATTTTTGAAAAAAAAAATCGAAAACTGAGGATGAAAACGTAATTTAAAAAAGTTGTACCACGTGGGACGCCTAGTCAGCATCTCCGATGAACCGAAGTGCGCCTCGTGGCAAGGGACGCTGACACGATGCTACACAAGAGGCCATACTGGCGATCCGCATGTCCGCGATCGAACAGTCAGATTTAAACACAATCAATGGTCCAGATCTACTTCCTATTTAAACGTGATCGGACGACTCATATCATATCGCGATGAACAGTCTAGATTCACTTCTTATTTAATTGCAATCGAACGGTCCAGATCAAATACAATGGATAGCCCAAATTAAAAGGGGACAGATATAAATAATCTTCTTCATACCAAATCCTAACCCTAGCTGCCAGACACCCTCGCCGGAGAAGAAGACCCAGCCGCCAGGAAGGAAGCCGCCGCCACCCGCCGCCGCGCCGGAGTCACTTTCGACCACCAAAAGAGGAAAAAAAAAATTTTTTTGCTCAGAATTCAATTGTAAACACCCACATGGCCAAATCCGAACAAAAGAACTAGCGGATAGGCTGAAAACTGCGAGCAAAGCCCGGTGGCACCGCCGCAAGAAATTACAAAAATTGCCTCCGATGAGGCCCTTCCTGATTCCCATTATGCGTAATTCTTCCACCATTGTAATCACTGTTTCTTTATCTACAGGTGACCGAAGCAAAACATCTAACTGTAAAGGTGAGTATACGGAGCTGCCACACTGAAAAATCTCGTCATCGGTGAGTTTTGATTTTTCGTCTTTTTTTTGCTAACCAGTACCCCTTAACGTATTTTTTTCACAAGAATTGACACAAAACAGGCCAAATTCAATCAAAAACAACCGACTCGAGATAAACTGTTGCTGCGAGCGGCAGTGCCGTCGCCGGAGCACGGCGGAGCCGCTGTGCCAGAATTTCGAAATTGGCCAAAAAGTGGTTCTAACACTAATTTTGAGTTTTTTGAGATATTTTTAGGTACTTGAAGTGCGTTTTAATCATAAAAAAAAAAATTAAGGAATCCAGAGACTGCCAGTAGGTGCAGCCAACAAGTTTAGCTTATTCTCTGTTATAGAATGAAGTCAAATTAATAATAATATGGTATTTTGTGCAATTTAGAAAATATCTGTAATTAATTATGGGTTACTAATGGAGTCAGAACCGAAAATTATCTACTATTAATTCTATTAATTTATTTTACAGTTTGAATGCATGATAGTATCTGATTGATCAATTTTATAGTTTTGAATGCATGTATTATTTGTTTTATGTGATTACGGTTGAATTGGGAAACTGGAGATTAAAGGTAAACGGAAAATCGTATGATTAAGTGAATGGATGAAACGGCAGCCTTACTGGATATCCTAGGAGATGGTAGACGAACCGAGTACATAGGAAACCCTCGTGAATGCTCTCTCATATCGAACGAAATATTGAGACTTGATAATTTGATGCTCATACCGGATGGAGTATGGGGACGGTTCGTTTCACCCTCATACCGGATGGGGTATGGGAACGGTTCGTTTTACCCTCATACCGGATGGGATATTGAGGTTTAGTAATTTGGTGCTCATACCGGACGGGGTATGGAGACAACCCGTTAATTAAAAATATTAATAGAAATTGTTCACGCATTGTGAGGACATCCTTATGAACCCCCATGGATACCAATAGACTGATAAAAGAGAAAATTATTGTTCTAACCAATTGCATATAAAATTATAATATGTGTTATGTTATTGTCTTTATAAGTTGTTTTGTAAATCTCGTTATGGTAAGTAAACGGTAAATAATTTTATTTATGATAAACGATTTTGCTAAATTAAGAGTTCTATTAGTTATTTTTATTATTTCTACCAACCTTCATTTCTGTGTCGGTGAGTAGTGTGATATTTTTACTGGACTAGTATAGCTTATTTCTTTATTAACTATTTCATATCAAGATGATCATAATAAAGAACCCGATCCACAAGAGGGTTGCGAGTAGAATGCTAATTTTATTTATTTTCTACTTATTTCTTTAATTTCTCGTATTTTTCTCAAAATTGTCATTCTAGTAGCCCTACTTGGTACTTTAAGTCATTGTGTAAGAAATGTAAATACTAACTACTTATTTTGCTTCCGCACTTAATTTATAATTTATTTCCTTTGAAATTTTCGAGATCGTTACACATTGGTATTACACAAGTTAAAAATGAGTTGGGTGTTATCTGAACATTTAGAACAATCCCTAAATGCTAGTTTCCACAGCAATTCTGGAACCCAGCATAACGGTAGAATTATATAGCAATTTTGAGACCCAAGATTAGCCCAGCCTAAGATTCTAAGGAATCTCAGCAAACGACACAACCCCAAACCCCAACACAACCTAGAATCTTTGCATTGTCTTAAAACTCTAAAGTTGTTCAAGAGCTATAAACCATGAAACTCTATTTCTACCCTTGGAACCCAACCCTACCCTTAAAACTCAAGATTGACGGAAACAATCCCAAGATACTGAGTGTTACCCCAGAAACCATTAGTAGAATCAAGACCTAATAATATCCCAAGACCTTAACATAGTTGTAGGATCTTAGTACTTCTTTGGGACTTCGCATTGTCCCGATATCCCACCAATCTCTCAAAACCTCTGTAAGTCCCAAAACTCCAAGCACTACTCAGGGACCTAGAAGCTATCTCAGGAATAAAGCTTAGTCTTAAGACCAGGAACTACCTAAAAGTGTTCGGAGTGATATTTTAATTGAAAATTGAATCCATCACTTGTCTTATAACTGATATACTAAACAAACAACAATATAATATATATATGTGTGTGCGCGTGTATGTTTAACATACTATAGTCATGGTGTCGTATAACATCATCCAATTTTTGGAAGATCTATCTGAAAATTAACACAATCTAAGATTTTACTTAATTTAATAAAAGTCAAGCTCTTAAGGAACTCTAAGCAAAGTTAGAATTGCGTTCCGAATTTCATCCATTCAAATAACATTTAGAGTATATGATTTTCGTTTTCCACTTGAAAACCATATGCTCTTAATTTTTGTCATCCTCTAAGAGAATGATTATCATCCCTAGTTAGGTCAGGTATAAATTTCAAAATAATTCCAACAAATTCTTAATTTGTTCCAGACTAGCTTAAAACATAAAAACTAGTTCAAGAAAGTTGATTTACCCTCAAAACAACTTTACAATATTTTCACGTTTTCTTAAACTTCTACCAATAATTCTCAATTATCTTAAATTTTGCATCACAGTTTTATACCACATTTCACACCAAAATGACTGTCTTCTCAAAGAGTCATCCAAATTCAGAGAAGTGCAGACACAATTACATCCAGAATAAATTCAAATTTTTGTTTTCAAGAAAAGAAAGGGGACCGATTGAACTCAACAACTAGCATCTAAGCAATGCATTATTAATGCCAACGAGTCGATTTTACCTTGCTCTTACTCATTCTTCCTCAAGGGGTAGGTCTTTCTGCTTCAATTACTTCATCAGAATTCTTTCCAAGACTGCAAAATATTTCATGCTCAACTCCAGAAAAATTGAGTAGAGGCAGGACATAAATGGGAGAAAAAAAAATTAAGAAAAAAAAGAAGAGCATCCAGAGTAATCATACAGGAGTTTGCAAGTACTAATTAGAGATGAACTTATCAGAAAGAAATAATGGATAAGGTTGGATCAAGAAGGACATTTACAAACTTGTTCCCAGCATAGCATTAGGATGAATTTTCTGCCTTTTTATAGGGCATCTAATCTCCAGATTCCCACAGGAATTGACTTTAGTAGAAAGAGCTCTAAGAGAACTGCACCTTGTTCTAAAGGAAAAGGCACCGAAACAAAATTCGACAGAAGATCTTCTATCAGCACTCAGTTTTATTCATTAGATGACTCCAAGTACCTGTTTCGGAACTTACGCCACCTTCTCTTCTTCTTGACCCCAAATGTGGGCACATCTGGAATAAGAAGCAAACATTTATTATATTTCCTCAACCTTGATGAAAGCTCATAAGGGATTTGCAAGCACAGAGACCTAGTTGGATCCAACAAGATACAGTTACTACAGGGGTGGTTTCTCATCCACAATTACCAACAGGATAGAAAAACAGAAAGTAAAAAGTATATATTTATCTTTTACCTCCTAGTGGATATATTGAGTTGTAGTGCACTTCGGCCCAGAAGCTCAAAAAAATTACTGCAACAAAGCATGGAAAACTAATCATTTCACCCAATTATCAGAATGGTAATTTCCTTTTATTCCTTATAAATGCATATGGTATTTAAGAAATCAATATTCTGGATTTTAGTAAACTCCACTAATATTTTTGTTCAAAAGACACCACTAAATTGATACTAAAACAATATTACGTAAGCAGAGATACTTCTTCATCAAAAGCAAGCAGAGATATTTAAAATCCATTGGCAAGAAAGTGCAAATTATCTCTTGAATTCAGTAATTATTTCCCGTGAAGAAAAAAACAGATTAGACGAAAATAATTGACAATTTCACCTGTGTTTTTAAACACCCCCCTTATTATATTGAGGAAGACTTGATATGTTAGCTTAGCTTATCAATGGTTAGAAAATTTAAACATTATTTTTTCTATCAAAAAGTTGGCTGAGCAGAATATTGAGTTTAAACTTTTTGGTAAAGAAGGCTCCACTCAACAAAATGCATTGCAGATTGAGAGATCATCAAAGAGCCAAGCTCTCATCAGGAAAATTTTTGGACCCAGTTGACCTGGCACATATATTATCAAACATGACACAAACAGGTTAGAACACAAGAACTAGCCTAAACAACTGTTTGTCATCAGTTTCTAACCTAAAAAGCTTGATGTATTTCGTAGTTGAACAAAATGCACATTTTAACTTTCACTAAGCAAAACAACAATTTTAAACAAGATGAAAGCCAATATAAAATCAACCCAGTTTAACAACCTATGGGAAACACAGAAATAAATTGAGGTTTAAAATTTATTTTTCTCTCAAACTTGAATACTAGATTGCTAGATAAATTTTCATTGAATAAAAGATTACTGAAGAAACCCAAGTCCAGAATGCATATTTATGACTAATGAAGAATAGCAGCATTCAAACAATCGTGACTACTTATACTCCTTAGTATCCAAATACGACTGCAGAAAAATAACGTCATGCTTGTGTCTAAACGTTGCAGGATACACTCAATTCAACCACTAGAAGAATGTTAAACTATAATCTTCTTTTACTAAATATAAACCATACTAATAGGCAACTCTTAGATAATCCAAACTGAATCATGTTTTTCACCAAAAGAAATGTTTATATATAGATTGTACCTCGTTTTGACCTTTGAACATTTGGGAGAATCTCAATGTAGCAAGTGTCCTTGAAAGATGTTATGACAAATATTTTAACACCATACTGCAATAAATTAGTAGCATGCATCAAAGAGCTAACATACACTGACAAGTACAATCATATCTAAACATGGATACTGCAATAAATTAGTAGCAAGTGTCCTTGAAAGATGTTTTGACAAATATTTTAACACCATACTGCAATAAGTTAGTAGCATGCATCAAAGAGCTAATATACACTGACAAGTACAATCATCTCTAAACATGGATATATCCTAGTACTAGGAAAGAAAAATGCCTCCCTCGGTAAGAAATGGCAGTTCCAAATCTAATAATTCAAACTAGCAGATGCATTTCAATCTTCATTCCTATTCACCATGGTCGACTTTGGATTCAACTTTTGCATAACTTACAGCTTATTATGCCACACTGAGTGGGATATATGAACAGCTCCAATTGAACATAACATTCTATTATGAGATAATAAGTATCTTAATTTTTAGAACAATTCGTTATAAGCATCTTAATAGCATATATATGTATTAGTAAATTAATTATGTTGAGTAGCAGATAGATTTATGTGACAGTGGAATTTATTGTAGTTGTATTTTTTATTGGTTATTGATTTGTGGTAGAGAAGGTTAGTAGGCAGTTCTGGGATAAACTTCCAGATAACTGCTCCTCTGCAGATTTAAGAATCTGATCCTGTCTTTCTAAAAGTTTAATTTTTATACGAAGGATTTATCAAAAGTTTATTGAGTACTTCAACTCTAGGAGATCGTTGGAATTCTCTCATAACGAGTTTATATGTTTAAATCAACATAGATAAAGGAAGAATAACACAAAAACAATCTCTAATACCTACTGATTTTTGGGTCAATCGTCCAATAACAAGATCCAGAAATCTGGATCGTTACACATTCCCCTCACACCCACCTAAGAAGAATTGCTAAATGAGAACTCGTCTTTTAATGCAACTAGAAATCTTATATGGTGGTTTACTTCATGCCTGAACCATTTCAATCATGCATCAATAAAATCTGTCAAAAGCCAAGATCTGGGACTAGCACAAACTAGTGAAAGGCAACAAATAGGTTATTGTCTTACGGTTAGAGTTACTAACCAGAGGAAAAATTCCAAAGTTTTTGTTTTTAATAAAGATTCACCAGTCTCATCTTTTTATTTCCCAGAACTTCAATATTAAAAGCATAAAATGTTAGATCTCTGCAGTAAGCCTAAAGGAAAAAGATACAAAATAGAGAAATGATAATTGGGTGAAGTTGCAATAGCAATTTGACTACACTAAGGTTATGTTTGATCCACCAAAAGCATCTAATTGACATAACATAACACTCTCATTATAGAGTTGAGAACTCGAGTCGAAGTCCTATTCTCAACTCTGTCTCAAAAAGAAAAAGAAGGTTATGCTTGTTCTAGAAGTGCTTGTTCCATAACATAGAAAACTACGACATTGCATAAGAAAAATCCATCTTTAAAGAATTTAAAGATGAAAATCATGATCCAGATTTGCATAAAAATATATTGAAATTAAAATAAAGGAATGAGATTTATTTCAGGGAAAAAAAAAAAAAAAGATAAAAGGAATAAGATTGGAATTGAACTAAACATAGCCTAAATACAATGACTGTAAAACGTGCTATTTATGGGATCCAAGTCCCTAACTCATACCGAATCTGCAGCAGCCTGCAAAGTAACATGATCACCCCATTCACCACTCCTGTTTTAACCCAAATGGTGGCAAATGTAAGGCCAGATTTACCATAAAGAATAAACTGTTAATTAAACAAGAAGGAACAGGTTGATACTTCGACATCTTCTCCAAATAATCACAGTATGCCATGGGAACATATCCCTCATATACCTCTGGGCAAGAGTTAAGCTGAGAATTGAAATATTAGCAACATAAGAATCATGACATCAGAGTGATTACACCCACATGCTTTTTGGCCAATATTTAACAAATTGATATGCTAAAGGGCAGTAGGCAAACCTGATTTACAACTTCTTGTCTCACAAATTCATGATGTTCAGGAGTTCTATAAAATTGATCGGATAGCGCACGAAACTGGTAAAATTATAAAAGCAACATCATTTAATACTAAATACATGACTGGGGGAGTGTGGAGAAAAGGCAAACCAAATCAAAAATGACTCAGAGACACTATGTTCGAAGCAGAAAGCTTGAAATTTTTATATCAACCACTAAAACTTGGTTCAAATAGAGACTGTAGAAATAAATGCTACAAACACAAAAATTAAGTAAACTGTTTGAAAAACATGCAGTAAATCGATATATGTATATCCTGAAACAAACTTTTAGTGGCAATAACAATGATATATAAGCATTGAAAATAACAAAATGATGTAAGCTGTTTAAATAAAAAGAAATGTAAATACACACAAACATGTGTTAAGAATACCTCAAGCCACACGAATTAAACATCCCCTTTGAAAGAAATTGAGGGCATATAGGAAATTATCTTGATATTTTGTCATTGATTCTACTAAAACTTAGAGGGGCATTGGGAATTAGCGAAAGAAATTTGCTTGAAATCACAAGTGTTCTACGTTTACCTAAAGTTTATGGGTGTTGATTTAGAAAATAAACAATCATGTGTTTGAATAAAGATACTTATTATTTTAAAAAAGTATTTATTGTAAGAAATAATTAAAACTAAGTACTTATTTAACAAATAGATATTCACTATTTTTTACAAATATATACATACATATAGACATGCATACATGCACACATATATATAAAAATTACTAGGTAACTAATGCGAACAAAGAAAAAGAAAGACACTTTAAGTGAATACAGAATATTTAGAAAAGGGTTTATTTTTGTTTGCCAACTCAAGCTGTTTATTGACACTATACATATTAGATAATCAAGCCAGTAAATTTGACAGAATACTTTTATGCTACAGCTAAATGCAATCTGTATATGTAAAATATATATAGCTCACATGAAAGTAATTTAAGAAAATACTTAAAAATTGCTTATAACACCTAATAGGAAAATGCAAATATTCTCTTGGTCACAATATCACAAAATTTCTGAGGGCAGAGCGACATATGCCTTCATGTTGTTATATCAGTAGATCCATACTGCTTTCAAAGTTGTTACATTGGTCCATAAAACCATCTTTAGGAGAGAAAGCACAATCTCACCTGACAGTTCCCATCTCCTTGAACTTTAAGCTCCACTAAATCATACAACTGCAATCTACAAGACAAAAAGAAAGTTTTCACATCATATATTTTATTTATATAGCAGGCAGAGAAAATATCTGCTACAGCATTAAACAACAGCGCCACCTCAGAAGATAGTGCACTGGAAACATAGAAAAATAAAGCATTCACCCAATATTCCAACTTTGGAAAACCATAACACCACACCTTTCCAGTAGCCTCTGATGATCTAATGTTGCTTCATCAACTGAAGGTATTTCTCCATTAATTCTAGGAATATGCTACACAGAGAGTATAAACATGTATTAACGTCTATTCACAGTTAGGCTGCAGAACAAATGCTCACACCATACACACAAAACAAGAATACTTGAAGGACAAATTAAACAAGGGCCCAGTATAACACTTTCTATGCTTACATTTTTTTTTATTGCCTATATATGATATCAAATTTGCTTTTCCAAGACTACATTACCTAATGGCAATTGAAGACTGCTGCATGAGGATATTACGTCTTGTATATGATATTATCCATATATCACCATTCATAGATATGGATCTCAAAATTAAATTCTTCGAATGAGACGATTGCCCAGAAATCATGCTCATCTCACAAAGAAACGGTCAGATAAAATCATAAATATCATCAGGATACATACAACATAGGATAACAACATTTAAGCCCAATGCTTCTTTTGAGGTGGGGAGAGGGTTCCATAAGTTAACCAAGTCTTCTTAGTTACACACTAATACTAGCAGCATTTTAAAAGCCATAACAAGCACTTAGACAGTTGCATTCCTAAGACCTATTGATGCTTCTGTTAAGGTTACACTTACAGGAACAGGAACCATCTGATTCAACCTTTTTCCCACTTCACCATCAAGAGCATATTCATCAGTCAGATCCAGCACATATGACCAATCTTCCTTGCAATATGATTTTTCTTCAGGACTAGAACATGAAGTAGGGGAACTCATATCATCCGCCATTTCCTGTCCACAATTCTGCCCTACAAATTACAACTAATATAAGCAATAGAAGGTGTAGAACAAACGAAAAATTGACGCCTAACCAGCTGGGAAGATAATTAGATTAGCATCCTGGATCTAGCATATACCAGAGACATAGTTCACCATAGATTGGCCAAACCAATCTTGCTGGAAACTGGAGACTTGTAAATGGTCTTCCACTTCATTGGGAGATCTAGGTACTTCTGCAACTGCAAGATGGGATAATTCTTCTTGGAGAGCATGCGCAATAAGCTCATCATTAGCTATATTACAGCTTTCTGCATCATACTGATCTTCATTGAAATACTGTCCTTGATAATAATCCTGGTTAACTCCGTGATCTTGTGCAAGTGTGCCACAGTATCCTCCACAATTAGAATATGGATCACTATCAAACAATTGAAGACCCCACCGAATAACATCGGGGTCTTGTTCATATGTGATCATTTGAGATTTATATCAAGCTTCTAGCAATATATTATTGCTGCAAAGATAAAGATTCAATTTCATATCAAAGTTTCTGATTAGTTACCAAAATATTGTTTTCTCTTATTTCAAGACAATAACATGGATTTTCTATATCTTGCATCACAGCCAGCTCTCCCCTGAAACAATAACACAGCATACGTCAAAAGAAATTTGATTAAATATAAGGATGAGTGAAGTCAAAACCTACAAATAATACTGTACTAAAACATTAACATAAAAAATAGGAATTCTTCTAATAAAGCAATCCATTTAAGAAGATTAGTAATCCCGACACTATCTTTTTCCGTCTGTCCTAGCGAACCTTTATGATCGCGACACTGGTTAATGTAATTGTAATCACAAAATCTCTGGAGAGAAAGATATGGAAACTATGAACAAAAACGTAATAAAGGTAAGCAATAACAAATAACTCAATGAATAAACAGAAGCGACAAATATCCACACCTACACCTTATCAAACTAGCTTGCGTAAAAATGAAAGGAAAATAGAGAAGAAAGTTTTAAAAAAGCGACAAAAACACATCTCTACTTTAAGAAAATGAAATGGCAAGCTCAGTCTAGTAACACATTGACTGAATAAAGAAATATAACCATTCCATCAGTCATTTTTTACTCTTCACTTCGACACATTTTCTCAGCAAACAAACAGTAGAGAGAGAGAAAGAGAAGTATTCCAAATCTAAAAAATGTCTTCCGAAAAACCAAATCCAAATCCACAACTTCAACAACAGCATTACGTACCGCATGATCCAAAAAGTCATTAACTAACAAATCAACCACTAAAACGACGCACATACACATAATACATAATATTGTCTATCGTGATCGAGGAACAAACGACTTACCAGATGAGAAAAATAATATCTATAGAGTGATTGATTGGAGATGATGTAAAAATGGAAGATCATCAATGATTACAGAGAGGGAGGTAGAGAGAGAGAGAGAGAAGTAAATAGAAATAGAAAGAGAACGGGAGAGAGAAAGCGCGCTCAAGACGCCACAAAATGGAGGAGAGGGAGGGAGTTAAAAGAAGCAAATGAGGGAAAATGGGCTAAAACGATCAGTGACGGACGTCACGGGTGCTGTTTCGGGTTTAGTGCGTCAGATTTCAGACGCAAACACTGAGGGAGTGTACGAGAGAAGAGAGCCGTTAATTGACGGCTAGAGCATCTTCGTGTACTGGGCTCTGTCTCCGGTGAGCCGAATATGTCGGGTTCGGTCGGTAGTTTCCAGCTACGATTTCTTTAAGATTTTTCCTTAAAAAGCCAAAAAAAATTTTAGTAATTTGACTCCCTTTCCTCACCTGTCCTGTCTTTTAGTGCGCATTCTTTATCACATGCGAAAATCATAATTTGATTTTTAATACTATAAAATTTTTATTTAAACTAATTCTTATTTTAATTTTTTAATAAATTAATTTTTTTATTTTTAAAAAAAATTAATCTAACATCTTCCGATGTCAAATTTAACAATACATGATATATTTTACTTGATCCATATGTAAATCAACTGTTACATCAAATATCTTATAATTTTTAAAAAATAAATATAAATCAATTTGAACTGATTCACATGTTAAAAAAAAAAAATCTACATATCTCTATTGATTTCATTCATTTTAAACATATAAAATGCAAGTTATACACATTTAAAGTACGAAATTTTTATCTCCAAAATTTTATTGGAACTATAATTTAAAAGAGAAAAAGTAAAATGACCAAAGGTTGTTAAGAAGAAACTGAAAACAAAGCGAACCAACTAATGTTTTTTTTTTTAATTGGTGCACCAATTTGAATAAATTTATTTTTATTTTTTTTAACATTATATCATATTATATGTAACATCTGATATAATGATTTCGAAAATTTAAAAAAAATATATATATACTAATTTCAATGCGGAAGCGAAATAAAGGTTAACGTTAACATCCCTTACACGATAATTCAAAACTATTAACAAATATCACGGAACAAATTTTCTGGAAAAAAATACGAAAAATATAAAAAAAAATAAATGAAACTATAAAATATCTAGTATGTACTCGTAACCTTATTGCGAATTGGGTTCGGAAACCGGGTCATCCTGATCTGAAATTGTTAAATAAGGAGTAAGTTACACTAACTCAATAAGGACGTTACAATATATCGTCGTCATAAAAGTAAAAATTAGTAGAAAACCAAAAACAACCAATTGAGTATAAATTTTAAATAAATTAGTTTATCATAAATAAAACTATTTACAATTCACTTACCATTGTGGAATTTATGAAAACAACCTATAGAGATAATAATATCATACATATCATAACTTCATGCATAATCAGTAACATAGAACATATCATAAATTCATATTCATTAACAATTACTAATCATCATCGTTTCTCATTTCACCAATCTACTAATATCTATGGAAATCCATAAGGGTGTCTCTGCTACACGTGAACCCTTTATTTTAACAATCTTAATTCCAGAGTCGTTCTCATACCCCGTCCGGTATGAACACCAAGACATTAAACCTCAATACCCCGTTTGGTATGAGGGTAAAGCGGGCCGTCCCTATACTCTGTCTGGTATGAGCATCAAATGACCAAGTCTCTATACCCCGTCCGGTATGAGACAACGTTCACGGTGGGGTTCCCTATGAATGCGGTCCGTCCACCATCTTCCAAGATATCTAGTGAGGCTGTCACATTATCTATTTATCATATCAAATCTCATTCATGTTTGTCCTTAGTATCCGTCACTAAATCAAACAGAAATAAATAAACAAGTAAACATGTATCCGACAATGCAATCATATCTTAGATCCCAAAATCAAACAGTGGTCAAGTAAAGCCGTAATACATGTATTTAAAATATACAATATATAAACCAGATACCATCATGCTTTTAGACTATAAAATAAATCAAACAGGAATCGACAGATAATAATGTCTGGTTCGGGCTCAATTAACAATCTGTAATTAATTATGCATATTTATTTAATTTGTACAAAACACAGTATTATCATTTATTCAAACTTCAATTCCATGATAGGAAATAGGGTGAGAGGTCCTTACCTGATTCAACGCCGAAAACTAGATG